TATCTAAACGATTCAAACCGCGCTCGCTTCACAAACGTATCACCGTACTATTCGCCATTTGTCGGAGGGCATTCAACCGCACAGAGACGCCTTAGCAACTCCATTTTTTCGCGATGACCATGACATCGAAATTAAACAGCCTCCGGTCACTGGAGCATTGACTCTTTGTAACAGCACACTTGCAAACAATCACGCGCCACCTAGGGTGACCTAGGTATTCTTATAACAGAAAGTGGTATTGACTCACCTGTCAGAAGATTCGGAGCTGTCGTATCTGTCGATGCATCTCTTCTTCCTGTCATCAACTTCGCTTTCATCGGACGGTTTTCGGTAATCGGTAACAACAGTCGTACCATCCTCAGCCACGCCGTGTCTATCACTTTTATCACACGATTCACTCGTTTTTCGTTTTTTAAAGTATGATAACTTAACGCTCTCGTCGTCGAACACAATGTCACTACACTTTTTTGAGTCACGGTGTCCTTTATCGGTCGCGGTAAAAGTTAAATTGTTCATTTGTTTAAGACCGGCGCGATCCTCAGGCGACCCATCCGCCATCTTTGAGCGCGCGAGTGTTTTGTCGCGAGCTTCGGTACGAAGCCGCTATCGGTCGTCGCGCTGTAGTCGCGAGGGGAGCGCGGGAAGCAGGCGGGCCGGTGACGTCACAGCGACTGCGCGACCGCGGGGGCAGATCACGGTGACGTAACGACTCCGCCCCGTGCAAATGCAGGGCCGCTGTCATTGGCCGCGTGTTACGCAACGCACGAGCCTACTCAAATAAGCGCTCGGAAGGGAGCGTAGGACTCGCGTCGAAGGGACGGGCCCATCCCAGCCCTAACGCAACAAATAATGCAGCATAATGAGCTACATGCACACATTGACGTTGAACTAGCGCACACATAGGTACCACTGGTCACTCGAAACAAGTGTACCGAAATTAATGATCACTGATCAGTTACATTCTCCACGGAAACTTTACGTTTCACGGACTCTAATTAATATGACTGGAACATGGATTTTAAGTTAATAGGCTGCATGACCTACGTACAGAGGTTAAACATACTTATCTAAATATGTATAGTTAATTAAATAAAATGTTAATTAAATAAAATTTTATAACTACTTGTTTCCAAATGTCGGTAACTAAGAGTTCTAGTATTGATCTTTTGAATACTTGTTTAAGCACACATCAAATAGAATTAATACCCTACTATTATTTAATACACATCCCCCATTCTATAGAGTATTGATTTGCCTAATTGTTCTTGGGACGATGGCATTGTTGACGTCCATGAGCGACGGCGACCACTTACGATCAGATAGACCGTATGCTTGCCTCCCTACAAATTTTATAAAAATGTTTTATTACAGTGCGTAACTGCAACTTCTAAAATTTTATTTTTATTTTAATCACGTGGTATCGAATGTTGATAGTTTTGATAGTTTTCTCAGCAACTACCTACATAAATGCCGAAATAAAAAAAAAACCCTTAAATGATTTTGAGGATTATGACAAAACTATACATACAGCCTAAACTCAGTCTCAAATCATTAAATGTCAAAACCTGGTAGTGTCTCTTTCACGCTCTGGGCCTCTCCTCCGTGCGTACGTGACGAGAAGTATAATAATAAAATACATATGTATAAGATGGGATACGGCCTAGAATTTCAATTGGGAAACGTAAAAGTCTAGTGTATGTTTGGTCAGAAGCATACCTAGCAAAAATAAGTTGTTATAAAATGTCACAGTACACCATTTAAAAAAATGTTTTCATGTTTATGTTTAGATCATAGAGTTAGTATATTTTTATAGGTAGTACTTATAACTCTATGGTTTAGAATTAATTTAACTTTTTGAGGCGAAGACATTACAAAGGCAAAAGACATACCTAGATATAAAAAAATGGTTGGTTTTATTAAGAAACTAGACTATTCAACTTTGCATTATGCTATTAATTATGTTAATCACATCTATTAGGTACATAATGTGTGTAATAAATGTGAGTTCGAAGTAAATATTTTATTTACCTACGTAAAATTTTTTACGGATTTTAAGTGATCCTTTTGACTGGCTTAATTAATTAAAAGATAATTGTATAATTATTATCTTCATACTGTTCATATTAAATTGTATGGGGCCAATAAAGATAAATTGGTTGTAAAATTTACAATTAAAAATTACTATTTTTGTCGTTAAGTATGTAACTAAAATAATCCTGCAATGAAAATAAGTAAGTAGCCATTAAGTGGGTTCATATTTTTCAGTTTTTTTTTTTTATTATCATTATTTTTAAAAAAAATGAAGCCAAAAAATAATTAAACAAAAATTTACACGTGAAATGAACACGAAAAAAAAAAGCATCTTAAAAACTTCCGCGATCTAGTGTTTATCTTGGCTCATCATTTTTGTAAGTGCATACCGCCATCTAGTGATATAATGATAATTCATTCATTCACAAAACAAAACTGAGAGAGCTTTGCCTAGTCACATATTGCATTCAGCGCTATCTCCTGGTTAATTTTGGAAACTCCATATCTGTCAGGATAAAAGGTGAACTAATTTTTTTAAATGCTGATAGAAATTTAGGGGATGAATAAAAACACCTTTTTTTAAGAAACAAAATATATTACTGATTCGACATAAGACAACACAAGCTTACATTAAAAGTTAATAAAATATTTAATCTGTGATTCGCATTCCAAAACAAACGTACATATTACAATCGTTTATTTGTAGATGAAATAAATTATTACACCTCATTTTATGATAATATTACTGTAATGTACACCACTAAGTATTATTAATCTCAATTTACTTAATATTATGTCAGAATAGTAGACCCAAAGTCAAAATAATACATTAAATAATAATACAATATATTACCCATAATAAATAACTATTGAAATCAAACTGGATTAATAAACGAATGTGTATTGCACTTCTATTTATTCTCGTCCAAATTAATGTATCTTTATTATAAAAAGATGTTAATATTTCTACATTGAAATATTTTAAAATATTACATAGCATTTTATTATTATATTTTCCTATTAATTGAATTAAATTTTAAAATACACATTTCATGTTCTTGTTTAAGTTATGTATTGTTTGAGATTAATAAGATTATCTAAAATAAATTGCACGAAATACGAATTACATAATTTCACTATATTATATTCAAAGCCGTTGAGATGTTTACATCCCAGTGTTATTTCTGTTCTAATACTTTATATATATGTATACAATAGCTTCCTATTTCTGCCAAATATCGGGAACTTAAGTTTCAAATTAATGCGACACATATATAGACACCATGATTTATAATTACGACGCTTCATTATAGATTTGATTGGAAATGTTTCAGCTAGCAAAAGTCATGCATACATAGTCGAACATCTATAAATAAAAAGACAAAGATATAACAGTTCACAATACTACTTTCTTATGTAGTTGTCAAAGGAACTTTTTTGTATTGTAATTAAGAAGAGATTTATTGTTAGAGATATTTAAAAACAGTTTATTAACACCTTTATTAGAAATTTAAAAAAAATTTTACCATCGCACCGCCCGCCACCGGAGTAGAGTTCATCCGTACTACCTGGAGCCACTGCGGTCATCCACAGTGCGTTTCCAGAGATCTTTTTTGCCACGTACCATCCGGCTATGGAATGAGCTCCCCTCCACGGTGTTTCCCGAGCGCTATGACATGTCCTTCTTCAAACGAGGGTTGTGGAGAGTATTAAGCGGTAGGCAGCGGCTTGGTTCTGCCCCTGGCATTGCTGAAGTCCATGGGCAACGGTAACCACTCACCATCAGGTGGGCCGTATGCTCGTCTGCCTACAAGGGCAATAAAAAAAAAAAAAAAAAAAGTCAATAACAAAACAGAAGAGAAAATAATATTATTATATAACACATAAAATCAAACATTAGTTAACACTAGGAGTGTTTCAGTGAAGTATCTATAACCTATGTATTCATTGAAACACTTCAAGAATTAAAACTGATTTTTTATTAAAATTTTGATTGTAATTTTTAAACAGCAACTTAGAATATTAGGAATGTTAAGATGGAAAAAATATAGACATAAATCATTAATTGTTTCAAGGAAACAATAAAATTGGGTATAAAATGAAATTAAGAAAAAAATGGAATTGTAATTTACGGTGGATATACAATTTTTTTTTAACACATCATCTCTTATACTACACTTTTGATTGTGTACATCATATAAAGTTTTACTATAAGTTCGAAATTATAACATATTAGTAGGGATGTTCTTAACATAGGTTTGTCGAAGGGAATGCTTTATAGAGGTAGCTAGTTCAATGTCAAGAATGATGCCAAGGATTTTCCAAGGTCAGGGATGTGTGATGAGAGGAAATGTAACCCGGTCTGTGAGATGAGGTATAGCTAGCCTTCCTATAACACGGTATTTTACAACACGCCTCAACTCTACACTAAAAGAAAAAAAAATCCATAACTGTCTTATAACACGGTATTTCTACAACACGATAACGAGACGTTTGTTTAAAATTATTTAGAAAATACATTAAGCACCATGAATACAAAATATATGGGACAAACCGAAATTTTACTGCTTATTTTTTATGTAATAGGTCAAAAAAAAAACGTGTGGCACTCGGGGACTGCCGCGGTAAAGTTTTGAATAGCATTTTTTATCACTTATGCAATTATAATTAGACAATAATAATTTAATATTAAAACAATAATAAAATAAGAACACGCTATATTTATAAAAATTAACAAAAGCAAAACATTAACTGTCCCCTTCACACTCATAAGCTAGACCGCGCGGGAGAGAGATGGGCAGACTTTTCATGATGCGCATGCACATATTCACAAACACTACACAAGCGCAACGTGTGAATGTGTTGAACGCGAGCTACATGGTAGGCGGAGTGGGAGTTTTAGGTTTTATTTTCGTTACGGAATTTCTTGATTCGGTCGCCGCACTCAAAGCCCGCGATAAAAGTTATGCAATAGCTTAAAAAAAAACAGGCATAGTTGTGTCATTCAGAAAAAATACTTTGTACCGGCTTCTAGTATCGTATAACACGGTTTTGCACAACACGTGACTTTGTAGGAACGTATCTACCGTGTTATAGGGAGATTGCCTGTATTCAATGATTGCCGCATAGCAGAAATTAGGATATGGGTACAAAATAATCGTTTATTCAGCTATTTATCAATATGATCATGGCTTCTTCGGCCTATGGGTCCGTGATGGTAGCTCCCTCGTTTTCATGCCTTAAATACTGCTGGTGAAGGAACAATGTAAGCTCACCCGGATAGGAACATCATTATATAAATTTAATACTTTAATATCTCAGGGTGAGTAGCGTCAGCTGAGGTGTCCATGGACTCTTGCAAAAACAATGAATATCAATAAATATCTTATATTTTCCTCATGAAATTTACAACTTAATTATTATTTCATGTTATAATTACTATATTTATTAGAGGGCCCAACAAAGGACAAAAACAAAGCGAAGTCCACAAGCAACATTGGGTTTTGAGGTCTATTCTCTCAATTGTGTAGTGATTATGCAAATTACAGTATTTGCGAGTTTGATTCTTATTACAGATTTATTATTCGTTGATGGTAGAAATCATAATTATGTTAGTAAGAATTTCACCAGATTTTTTTTTACCCGCTTGCCGGATTCGAACACGGATAAGTCGCATCGCTCGATACGAATGCACCGGCCGTCTTATCCTTTAGACCATGACGTCTTCAAAATTAGTTTAATGAAAAATAGTCAATTAATTTTCGTTTTCTTAATGTAAAGTATCAAAATTATTTAATTTGTATTATAGTGATTTACGAATGTAATTGTCTCTTGTTAATATCGTATAAAAGACGCTCCTTATAAATTATTATTTTTTAACACATAATCCATAATGTTGGTCTGTGACGTATGAAGGCGATATAAGAGAAAGTACCGGAATAGTTTTTAAGAGAGAACAATCAAGAATCAGACAAGGTTCAGATCACATTTAAACGATACCATTAATCAATGTATATTCAATCGCGAAATTAGACTTAAACCTAGATTGCTCTAAAGCTCAAAGTTGAATAAATATATGATCAAGTTAAGAGCCAGCTCCCGTATTTTTTTCATTTGAATAACTTCAACTATTACCTACTTCTAGTAACATTAATTATATTATATTTTTATTGCGAAATTAATGTTTTTGAAACGATTTTATTTAAGTTCAAGATAACCACATCTCTAACATTTTTATTTTCGATTTAGCACCCGATTTAAATTCTAACAAACACTCAAATCATGGACGTCAAAGCACAATCAGTAAGAACGATATATAGTGTCTGTGAAATGAACAATAAATTAAATACACGACTTGAAGAAAATACTGGCTGTGTTCGATTTTTTTTGTCAATCCAATCGGCTGTAAGCGTACTGGCTCCGAAGGCGACATTAACGATGGCAATGTTGAAATAAGACGAATTAAAAGAAAACAATTGCGGTCGAAAGTTCTTCTCCAATGTTTTTTGCATTATACGCAATGTAAGATCAGATGACGCGTGGGGTCAACGACCTCACGCGTCCAGTCACGAGAGGATACCTTCAGTTTCGATTGCGGGTTCCCAGTTTTTTATTATTTCATGTTTATTTTCGATATTAAAAAAAAAGTTAAGTGGCAAGTAAAAACCAACCTTGTATAAGTTGTGTTTAAAGCTACTTTGCTGATCTAACTAATGAAGAGAAATCACTTAAGCTCCTTAAATTCCCTCAAGTCCACAGCGAAGTAGGCATCATTCCCTCCATTGAAGTATTTCGCGGCGTTAATGTTTCGTTGCAAAGGAAATCCAGCGGCATATCGACCAAATGACCTTGTATAAGGTCTATTTTCCTGTTCGCCAACGCCGGGTCTGTGTGCCACAATGTCTGACAGTGCTCCTCTTGATAACGTTTCAATTGTGCGAACGTGTGTACCGCGTCCGTGGGTATGCTGTGAAATACCTGAAAAAACATAGCTAATATAATCTTATTATGCTTACTTACTGGTGGTAGGACCTCTTGTGAGTCCGCGTGGGTAGGTACCTCCGCTCTGCCTATTTCAGCCGTGAAGCAGTAATGCGTTTCGCGTTTGAAGGGCGGGGCAGCCGTTGTAACTATACTGAGACCTTAGAACTTTATCTCAAGGTTGGTGACGCATTTACGTTGTAGATGTATGTGGGCTCCAGTAACCACTTAACACCGGGTGGGCTGAGAGCTCGACCACCCATCTAAGTAATAAATAAATAAATAGTAATACTAGAACTAACGTCCTCGTATATCTCCGTGTTCTGTCGCGACACGGCCTGCCACACGTGCCGGTAGAAGCGCTCGCAGCAGGGGTCGTCGACCTCGCCGCCCCCCCCCCCCCCCCGCCCCAGGTGCTCGCGGAACAGTCGCTTGCGCAGCGCGCCCGCCACGCGCCCGCACGGGAACGCCTGCTCGTTCATCGTCCCGTCCGTGAACTGCTCGTCCTGATAGCAAAAATAAATAATTACTAAAGATCCAGAAGTTGCCAGTTTACAACACGGTATATTTGGTGTTTTTTTTTTTTTGGTTTGGTTGGAGTTTGGTAGGCAATTAATTCTAAATTGAAATGGGGAAAGTAAAGAACTTCATAAGTGGGTGCCGCGCGAACCGAACAATCGCGACAAACGCGTTAAGATATGCCTTGCGTCCTTTTTTTTTTTTTTCGTGTTGGGGTCCGAACCCCCTACGAGGTCCCCGCGCCTCCATGCCTTGCGTCGTACTCTGTACGGGTTCTGACCCCGGCTGGAGATCGGACGTCGGGTGAGAGAGTGTAAGGGGAGCCATTTGATGCGGTAGGGCCTCGAATTGCATCCCTTGGGTCCGCTCCCAACATCTGTGGACTATATAATCCCGATAGGTTCAACCTGGCCGAAAAAGTATCTTGCGTTACAATAAAAAAATTTTTTACACTATTTTTAATTCAATTTTATTAAAATTTATTTTCTATTTTTTAGTTGGATTTTCTATAATTGCGTATTTTTTGTTTTTTTAAACTGTTATTTATTTATCATTTTTAGTTGAATTTAAATTTTTTTTATTTTTTTTTATTTTTAATATTACATTGTCATCGGTCCTTAATAAGTATACCAAATTTCGAGTTAATCCGACGTTTTGAAGAGGGGTCAAAATCATGTTCAACGATTCCGTTACATACTAACATACATACATCTGAAGCTAATAAAAGCGTATTAAAAAAAATGTATCTAAAAGAGTGAAAGCGTTTGTTTTTCAAATTATTTAGATCGATGTTCCTTTCATGAATAGCTTATGGGTGTAGCGTTAAAGTGTATCGTTATGTTTAGTTGGTTGATCGCGGCACGTTTGGAACCTCTGGGTCTGCGGAGGGACTTCGGTTCCCTCTGTATTTTGTACCGTATGTTCCATGGGGAGTACTCTGAGGAATTGTTTGAGATGATCTCTTCATCTCCTTTTTATCATCGCACCTCCCGCCATCGGAGCAGAGTTCATCCATATTATCTGGAACCGCTGCGTTCATCGACAGTGCGTTTCTAGAGATCTTTTTTGCCACGTACCATCCGGCTATGGAATGAGCTCCCCTCCACGGTGTTTCATGAGCGATATGACATGTCCTTCTTCAAACGAGGCTTGTGGAGAGTATTAAGCGGTAGGCAGCGGCTTGGCTCTGCTCCTGGCATTGCTGAAGTCCATGGGCGATGGTAACCACTCACCATCAGGTGGGCCGTACGCTCGTCTGCCTACAAGGGCAATAAAAAAAACATGCCTGCAGCAGCACGGCGATCTCGGAGTCCCTGCTGCCGAGCATGGAGCGGTCGTTGAGGTTGGCGCTGCCGCAGATGACCGTCTTGTCGTCCGCTATCAGCAGCTTGGAGTGCACGTAGATGAGCTCGGTGACGGGCTCGCCCTCCAGCCGCGAGTGCGTCCGCAGCCCGTGGAACGTGATGTACTCGGACGGGTCCGACACGCCCGCCTCGTACAGACGGGTCAGGATGGCTTCACGGCTCCTGCACCGGAAACAAATTGATTCACAATTTTTTTTAAAAAGCGATTTTAAGACCTGGTAACTAAGTGTTAGAATTGTATAATTCCTAAACGCATCTTTATATCAACTAATGGTCCCGCAGTAGTCAAAATTCGACTATAATTAATTGAAATTATAAATTTGATCATTATTATGGTTCTATAATAACAGATTTCGCCAAAACTACACTATAGACAAATAAAATTAAAGATAAACATTATTAACCTATTCTCAATTTTACCAGACTTTAAGCAATAATAAAAGTTTGACAATAAACAAAGAGTATATACATATATTTGTGTGCGTCAAATACATGGTAGTGTGTGTAATATTTTTTTTATTGATTTAATGTATTATGAATGGATAATTTAAAAAAAATATTAGCTTTCTGCACTCCTTCACTATATTCTCTATAAGTGTGGAAAATTTAATACTTTTCCGTCCGTGCAATTTTCGCAAAAAGGGGTACAAAGTTTTTGCTTCACGTATTAATATATAGATACCAAATGTCAATTGTAGTGGTCGTCCCTTTCTTCTTCTTGCGTCGCCAATGACCAATGACCACTGACAAAAAATATATATCGCCGTTAGAATAAATACTATTCTTGCAAATTTTCGTCTTTTATATGAAACCCAGACGATCACTCCAACACTAGACCTTTAGGTAATGTCTTATTTTGATTTATATTCTTATTTTTATGAAAAATGATAATATAAAGTGAAGTGAAATGAAGATGATTGATTTGAGACATTAATCAATTGGGATGAAATTAAATGAAATGAGATGAGATGATATGGCATGAAATATAATCTTCGGAAAATGGTGTTCATTTACTGCAATTTTTTCTGTAGATTTTTGGAGGATCCCAAGAAGAATATCAAAGTTTTATGCACTTTCACATATATAAACCACCGTTATTACACGTTTAAGCCTGAAGGAACACTAAATAGACAAAGTAAAATAAATCACACAGATCACGGAGAGAACGCAAGATGGCGTCTTATGTCGGTGTACGATAAAACATCGCTCATGAACAACGATGTATCGAATTTTGTTTATTTTTTATTTATTTTTTTGCCATTGTAGGCAGACGAACGTACGGTCCACCTGATGGTGAGTGTTTACCGTCGCAAACGGACTTCAGCAATGTCAGGGGCAGAGCCAAGCCACTGCCTACCGCTTAATAATAATTCGTTAGCATGCCCTACACAGATGGGGGCGGGGTGTGCCTGTACCTGCTGATGCTCTGGTAGTTCCAGTGCGTGACGGCGTGCAGCGAGGTGCCGGAGGGCGCGCCCACCTCGCCCTCGAAGGCGGGCAGCAGCGGCATCACCACGTACACGCGGAACGCCTCGCCGCCGCGGTGCGCGCGCATTATGCGGTTGAACAGCGCCTCGCCGATCTGCACCAGAGCGGACATCTAGTACAATACTATACTGGTGGTAGGACCTCTTGTGAGTCCGCGCGGGTGAGTACCACCACCCTGCTTATTTCTGCCGTGAAGCAGTAATGCGTTTCGGTTTGAAGGGTGGGGCAGCCGTTGTAACTATACTGAAATCTCAAAACTTAAGGTAGGTGACGGCATTCACGTTGTAGATGTCTATGGGCTCCAATAACCACTTAACATCAGGTGCGCCTCGCCCACACGCCTAAGCAATAAATAAATAAAACACATGTTCATTTTACATTTGAACCAAACAGCATTATAAGATAATTATAATCTTATTAATGAAAATTACTATCGCATTTAAAATTATTATTAAAATAATTTTCTTAGGGACGACATTGAAAATAAATGCGATTTTTTTATTATTATTCGAATTGTGGATGAATGAATGGTAAGTTATATAAAACCATAATATTTTGCACTGCGTTAAAATTCGCATGTCACATAATGACAAAGCATACACGCTGCTTTGAGCTTATGTAATAACTCATTTTCACTATGCCTAGCGAATAAATGATTTCTTTCTTTCTTTCGGTTTATGACACGCTTGAGACCGACCTGGTTCCGGACCGCAACGCTGGATCGAGACAGCGTGATGAAGAACTGGTTCTCGATGTAGAGGTAGTGCTGCGCCCTCGTTATCGTATCCACGTACGCTTCGTGGATGCTCTGCTCCACGGTGTCCGGGTCCAGGAACCCGCCCGACCAGCTCGACACGCTGCGTAGCACCTTGAGAGAAAGAAATATAAACTCTAGTCATTTTTGAGAAAACATTAGTTGTCGGTGTTACTGCCAATATATCGATATTTTTGGTGAATAAGAATGTCGGAAGAAGGCATCCTAAAAAGTATTGGTAAGATTGTGTAAAGGGGATATGTAAGAGAGATGCTGTATGATAGGCCTGAATGAAAAAAGAGTACATGCTGAGCGCATTCCACATGGTGACATAAGAACAAGAGAAAGAGATATTAGGTTAAAAAAATATAAGGTGGATTACTTTTTTAATTGTCTATAATACAAACTTATAGTTGCTATTTCATTCACAAAAAAAAAAAACGGTGCGTGTGAATGAAGTGAAACTTCTTTTTCGATGTGTGTGTGTATTGTGGTTTTCTTCATTTTTCATCCATAAATAAGATTGCTCTTGTAATAGGGAATGCTGTGTATAAGAGATGCGACATTTTCAACATTTATATAATATATATTTTAAATTATAGAGAGAAAAATAAATATATATATCTTTTAAATACTTCATTAAAATATTGGCCGCTACTCGTTGCTAACGCTCGCGCTGGCCTGTAACAAGTATAATACTACGCGCATGCGTTCGAGTGTCGCGCGTTCACTCTCGCTCTGTCTCTTTCTATTTCATGGTAGCATTAAACGTTTAACACAACCTTGTTGGAAGTCTCAAATTAAAAGTTTCACTTCAATAAAAATATGAATTCTTTTCTTTTATGTGCTATGAGTACCAAAGGTACCCCAAATCCAACCAGGAATCGATCCGGGCATCCCAAGCACAGTGGCTAGACATTCTAAGCACTCATTCAATTACCTAAAATATTGTATATGGCGCGTGCTTCTCACCTGACAAGACACGTTGTTCATATCGATGTTCAGTAATTTGTCGAAGTCCCCTAACGGCTCTATGTCGCTGTATGTCTTCGGCACTAAGTAAGGGTAGTTTGTGTTTTGTCTGTAAATCAATTATAATAATGTTTTTAAAATTGCATTAATGAAATAAACTGACTAGATTTATTTTTTAAAATTTATATTACAGTTAATGAGAATAGAAGAATTGACGGTTGCCATGGAAACACATTTGTTTGTTGTGCAGTTTCTCTTATAAACAAAAAATAGCAATTGTTTTTTTAATAAGACATTTCTTGTAAAATAACTACTCTGTTTTTGAATTAGCATTTGCTTGACGGTGACCAGTGCTTGAGATATCTAAAAGCACCGTTAGTGGATCGGGAGGATCCGTAATGACGTGTTTAGGGCGACATCGACTGTTTACCATACGGTCTCCAGGTATGGAAAACTCGCACTAAACGCACTGGTCTATAGAGTCCAATTCCGCTAACAACGTTTATCGTTAAATCAAATCAGTAGCGCCTTTTTTAAACGGTTTTATTTAGCTCGACCTGTACGGAATTTGTTTTTTATTTATTTGGGTCAAAATTAGAAATTGAAATTTAAGCACCTTCCCGTTGTCAGATTGATCTGAAATTTGGTACACACATTTAATTTAGATGACAATACAATATAATAAAATCAATGACATTATAAATCTAAGATGGCCGCCGATACAAAATGGCGGATTACATATTTTTCCTTAAACCCCTCAATATGGGTATCAAATGAAAGGGCTACACTAGTAAAACACGATGATTATGTCAAATTTAAAATTCAAGATGGACGCCGTTCCAATATGGNGATTATGGGTATCATTACGTGCTTTTACTTACTAATCCATATCAAATTTAACTTAAAAGCACTTACGAAAAAAAATATAAAGGTTTTTATTCTATGTATTTATTAATTTTTTTCGATCCATTTATTTGGCAGAGTTGCAACTTTATGCACATGTTCATAGCATCAAATGATAGTAGACTAGACAAGGTATAAGGAAAATAAAGTTTCAAAGCGGGACCTCGCGGTACTTAGCAGGAATTTAATTTAATGTGACCCGCTCCATACAAAAAAATCACAAAACACATTTTTCTGACCAAACTATAAAGTTTTTGTAATTTTTGCCCAAAACAATTATTATTGAGATTAACGAGCTCTATCTATCTACATAAAAAAAATTATAAAAAAACCAAAGTTGGTCCCTAAGTCACTAAAATCATAGAATCGACCCACTGTGCGTCGTCTATGGTACGTGAAGCAAACATAGTGTAGCTCAGATTAATTAAAAGTAACAAAGAAACATATTGATAGATTGAAAAACAAAGATTGCTTAATGCTACTGAAGTGTCGCCTGCCAGATGATTGTACTATAACGAAAAACTTTTCTGGAATACCATTAAGAACTGTACCAAGTTTAATCTGCTTCGGATGAAGCTTAGGTTGAATCCCAAAAGAAAACATTCATAATTGTGACAGTTTGAGTTTTTCCGAAACAACTGTAGCATTGAGGCAAACAAAACAGTTATAATACTCGCAGAAAATTTTAAAATTTAAAAAAATACGCTTAAATATTAAAACGAAATAATAATTATCCATCCGTTCGTCCATTTATTTATTCTTATTTTTTGTCATTATAATAAATAATAACCAAATTTTTATTCAATATCCAGTCCAGCCAATTACTTTCAGGAGGAAACTGTTTTTCTTTCTGTACGTTATTTTTGCATTATTTATGTAAACAAGCTTAAGGCCTGCCTGGTGCTAAGTGGATATCTGTGACACCGCAACCTTAATACCACCCACGTTTACCACGAGTTTGAGCCCACCCAGCAAACCAGACCGCACGATTGCGCTATATGTATATTACGAGTCGGTATTTGTGCGGATTCATGATATGCGCTACCATCACTAATTTACAAATATTTAGTTTTTAATGTTAATCATTTATTTAATCGTTACAACTTAAGGTACAACAAGGTAAGATAGTTTTAAATTAATAATTTTGTGCAGCCACCGGCGCATGCGCGTTATTCAATTTTTTCGAAACTCACTGACTGCATTTTTACGAATCCTGGGCAGGTGTCGGTCGCGCGGCGTTGGTCGACACTTTAGGGTTCCGCTTAGCGTGCGAGGATTTTTTTATTATATTTCGGTTCCGCACGTTACAAGTTTAATTTTTATTACACGATACTATTCCTTCACCGTAGAAAGTCATTCGTTAACAGTAATTTTAAGTATGATGTTTTTAAAGTACGAACTTAAAAAAAAAGTATTTGATACAAGTACACCGGAATTCTTACTAACTCTTATTAACCCTTAAGCCACGACGATTTTAATATTTAAAAAAATCTAGTTTAATAAGTAGATAAAGCTATTTACTATCTAAAATTAGAAAATGATTTCAAGAGAACTTCGAACAAAACCAACGACTTTAGAATTACGAACTTTTAACTCATATTTAATTACCATTGATTTGACCTGAAGGAAACATTTTTGTAAGTAATTTTAAAAATAGAGTTAGCTAAAATATTAACCTTTTATTGAACTGGTGGAATTTTATTGGTGGTAGGACCTCTTGTGAGTTCGCACAGGTAAGTACCACCACCCTGCCTATATCTGCCGTGAAGCAAGTAATGCGTTTCGGCTTGAAGGGTGGGGCAGCCGTTATAACTATACTGAGACCTTAGAACTTATCTTAAGGTAGGTAGCGGCATCTACGTTGTAGATGTCTATGGGCTCCGGTAATTACTTAACACCAGGTATGCCGTGAGGCCGTCCACCCACCTAAGCAATAAAAAAGAAAGAAAGAACTGAAGAGCGTAGGCGGAAAACTGTCAGGACCAGAAAATTGAAACGTTTTTCTTCCGATAATAGTGCGTGGGACAATAGAAATTCGAAACCACTAAAGGTTTAAAATAAAAACATTTCCTAAAAAATATATTATTTTCAATATTTTTGTGTCGCTAATGAGTGAATGAGTTTGTAAAATCTCAATTTTTACTGTACTGTACAAACCACTCTATAAAACGGAATCCGTGACTACTTCGTGACAAAAAGTATATTACAATACAATTGAAGTTTACGCCCCGTGCCACTGAGGAAACGGTAGATTCCGTGACTTAAATTAATAAATTAATTTTATGTCCTTCTTCAAACGAGGCTTGTGGAGAGTATTAAGCGGTAGGCAGCGGCTTGGCTCTGCCCCTGACATTGCTGAAGTCCATGGGCGACGGCAACCACTCACCATCAGGTGGGCCGTATGCTCGTCCGCCTACAAGGGCAATAAAAAAAAAAAAAAACCTCAGTCTAAGCTATAAAATGTATAAACGTAGCATTTGAAAATTTACTATCACACTCACATTATGCACTACCCGAAAGTTTTAATGAAATAACATAAAACTTTATAACCATATCGTTATCTTGGGCTATAATGTATAATATGAGCATGAAAACTCTGAACATCTTTCATATTTACGTACATACACAACTTGCTCTATTAATAGCTCAGGAAATTAGAGCAGCCACAGACAAACATTCACATAACAAGATTGCGGCTTATTGTTCGCAACAGCACTGCCCTATATAAGGTCATTAAACTTGATTTATGATCTGAATCGCTCAATATGATTATTGTTTATTCAATTAGTAGATATTAAACGAGTCAAGGAGGAGTTATATTCACAATAAATTATTTGTATTAAATATGGATATCTCCGTTCTAAGGGGTGACAAAGTTAAAAACATGTTCTTAAGATTATTGGTAAATTAAATCTTTCACGATAGTGCTGCCACTGTATTTTAATAATATTACTTGTATTGTCTTGTCGACATCTTTTTCTTTAACGTAAGTAATGAATGGTTCAAATTATAACACTAGCCATAATTTCGTCGCATTTCAGACTCGTTGTTACCCTATGAAACTCAAGTTTTACCGCAAGCATAAAAGTTTGAGGAAACTCAGTTATGCTTTAAGAAATTATGCAAAAACTTTACTAGCTATACACAGATCACATGAAAAAATTATGCTTTAAGAAATTATGCAAAAACTTTACTAGCTATACACAGATCACATAAAAAAAAATTGCTATTTTAGCCTTGTTTCATATTTCGAAAATACTGTATTCATGAGATTTTCCCGATTAAAATTTTCGTAACATTTCGACATTAAAAGTGCTCTACGCATATTATTTGATCCCAACGTGCACTTAAAGTATGAATATTAACGACTCGTTGTCAGAAGAAAAAAATACTCTTAATTCTAGTCACGTATTACGGTACTTCACCTATTCATAATCATAAGAATGACACCGAATTATAATTTAGAACACGGTATCGCACTCATAGTTAAAGCTACCACGAATACCTTGCAGCCTAACCTCGTATATTTGGGACTGGAGTGATTTTCAATTTATTTCCTATAGATTTTATAGTTTGTGTAAAATTAAGGCAACCGCTCGAAAGGACACGGTATTGGGAATACTCGTAAGCACCACTATTGCCGATTCAGCTGATAATTTTAAATACGTGGGTGTTCGATCTCGGCGTCAACAACGGCTACAGCAACTTATCCATTATCATGTTCCGTAGTATTAATATTCTTACCTCGTTCTCTAATTCTTAAATCGATTGTTCTTAAGTTAGGTCAGGCTAGGTTAGGCATGCTATGATACACGATAATACTAACGCTGTACCTACCGATTGCTTTCTGGAAACTCTCTATCCGACAATATTTATATATAGTCACATTATGACGCATAATATGCAGATAATTAAATTACTATTAACATCGCAGAATATGTAAATTTAATTTGCCACAGCTAATTACCACAACACAGTAAAATAACTTATACGGTTCACCGACTTGAATACAAAATAAGTTCGCGTGCCAAAAAGAACTGAAAACACTTATTTCCGTTTAAATCTACAATTTTATAGCAACGTTTATATTTCGAAATTAAATGGTGAAAAAATGTAAATTGAATTTGTAAAACACTAAACAAACGAGGAAAGTATTTTAAGTTTTAACATGCTTTTGCACCAAATGCATAATTTTCTTTATTTTAAAATTCAGATGTGTAGGTATTTTTGTTATAATTGCTATTATAAATTGCTTAATAAATAAGATTAAGCGTCGTTACAATTTTTTTAATAACCAAAATAAGATAAGTAAATATTTAATTAACATAGAATATACTTGCATACAAAGCTGCTACATATTAATTTTCTAACTTAATGTTTTGGAAGTTATGACGTCACTAAAAGCACATGAGACATGATTAAATTTTGATGAATCGTAGATTCGTCTTGATTAACTATTTCTAAGGTTTAAGATTAAATTGTCTTAAGACTATTTTTAGTCCTGTGTGTCTCGCTAAAGGATAAAGGTCGTGGTCCTGAACGTGACGGAAAGAACTAAGCGTATATTGAAGGAACTGACCCCTAAAGCGGCATTTTAAGCTACATTAGATCAAAGTAAAGTTTATGTAGCCCTTTTTCATACATCAAAAGGGCTGTGAATAGAAAAAAACTCGTTGAAAAACATGTTATAATGAAAGTCGCAATGTTAGAAAATTATCCCAAGTGTAAACCCAAAATTCACATAATATATTTTTAATAAACTGATGAATCTACATCACAACCAGACTATGAGCGATAACTATTATCCAAATACAACTGAAGAATGACAGATTTAATCACATAGATCTGAAACTAGGCCATCCACCAAATCCAGTCTTTCCGTACTTACTAAAAAGCGAATTAACTGGAAGGTTTTCAATCACTTTTTTATATTTAATTTATTATTTTTTGAGACTTCTACACGTATTTTATGTCTCCTGTCATCTTCGTCCTTTGCCGCCATATTGAAAAAATGTCGCTCAAAAACATTTTTTGGCGATATCTCTTTACCAACTGAATATTAAAATATGTAGTTGTAATAAAAAAACTGATATTTTATTAACAAAAATATTGGATCTCTTAGCACTCCATCGCGGAAATCACAGCCCGTCTTGAGACGAGGATACAAGATTCCTTACATATGTTTGTTAGTAAAATCATCAAAGATTTAATCTTCTGGGTTTCGGCGGATTAGCTCCGAACAGAGAATTCCGCTTTTCAAAATACTAACAGAAGAAGAACACTATGAAACTGAAATCGTTAATTGCTAAATGGCATTCGAAGCATTGCACTGGCACTTCATACCTCTCTGTCAATTTATATATTTATGAACTGTTCTATAGTATAAGCTGCAATTAGAACATCGTCCATTCTGTTAGTAATAGATAAGTCAAACAAATTTTCACGGCTTACAGTGTAAATAAAAATCAGAAGCGCATACAAGATTTTTGTAAATTTTGTAAATTTTCTGAAGCTTTACTAAATAATATATTCAAACGCTGGGGGTATTTGGTAATTGTCTGTCGGTTATATAAAATTTGTCAAAAGAAAATATTACCCGAAAACCCAGTTTGCCTCTTCACTCGGAAGGTCGAATTGGTCCCGGTTTACAGCGGGTGCCAGTTGCTGAGGCATCGTAACCGAGCCTGCCGGTAATGGGCACTAACTTTTTACTGCTCTTCGGTACACACTTTACCCATAAAAAGTCCAATAAGGCTGTTTCGAGGAGCCTACTGGATTACAGAAAATTAATTTATCTTGTGATTAATTCACAAAAAATCAGCTATATTCAGATAGGAATACTAGCTGAGCGTCACATGAAATTTACTTGTCACAAAAACCGAGCCGACCCGAGACGTTTCTCGTTACAAAAATGTGATAAAAGAATAAACCTGCGATTTAATTTTGCACGAATTTATTGTTCATATTATTCAGTTAATCGTTAAAGTTAATAGGTTTCCCAATATCAATAAGTCAATCTAGTGAGTGAGCTTAGAGGGTTAGGTTTACAGCACGCTTTATGCGCATTGCGTGCGCGCTGGTCTCCCGTCACGCGATGTTGTGTCACGTGAAACTGTTGTTATTTGCTGATATTATAAAAACTTGGTAGCTCGAATGCAGTCAGCATTTACGTCTATAGAAAATCAAATCTTTTAATTTCATTAAAGTATTTATTTATTACAGCGGTTTTAGCTCCTATATTTTTTCATTACTTAGATGATGAGTGGATGAGCTCACGGCCTACCTGATGTTAAGTGCGTAACCTTAGCCCATAGATATCAACAATGTGAATACCGCCACCCTCCAGGACACATAAGTTCTAAGTCTGAATTTTATAGTGCAACGGTTGCCCCACCCTTAAATCCGAAATACTGCTTCACAGCAGAAATAGGTAGGTCAGTGGTTCCTATCATAAAACATAATTCCGTTACCCTAAACACTGTACACCTGTTTCCATTTTGAGGAATAAAAGTCATGGTTTCAATTCGTTACAGTGTTATTAGAATTTAAAAGATTATAAAGGAATTTAATAAAGAAAACTTTATATTAGAATTTAATGAAGACCCAAATTTTGTTTCTGCCCTAAAAGCATTATTACAAAGTCTGATTTTAAAAAGTCTTAGCAAAGAACAGTTCCAATTTAGAAGGAGGTGTTAAAGTTCTAAGCTTAAAGAATGTATTTGTGAGCGATTATTTTACATCACAAGAGAACACATTTGTGTTGTGGAAATAGTTCATAAGTTAGTTGAGTAATCTGAACAAAATTGAGTTTTCTTTTACGTTTATAGTGAGTTTGGTTTTTGGGTGAGGCTTTACGACTGAACGTGAATATCTATTAATATGTCTCGTAACTTAGTGGGTGCGCCATAATCAGATTGCGGTATTTGTAGAGCTTCGCTAGGGACTGGCATCGGCCGCTCCCATAGCATAAACTAATCAGGTGGTCATCAACAGAAAGACCTCAACTTTATTTACTTACTTTACATAACAAATACGTCTATAACTATAACTTAACATGCTCGATCAATCAAGTACTAACAAATTTTAAAAAAACACACCGAAAACTGCCTTCATTGAAATCATCAAATATTCATCAATACCTAATCAATTCAAATAACAATTAATTTTGAATGAGTTATTTGAATGTCAAATAGAGTTCAAATTTATTTGCTTTATACATATATTATAACTATAGTATGAGTAGATACCAAAAGATTTTTTTTACTTAACTTAAAAAGAAGACTAAATCTCACCTTATTATTTCATTTTGAATGTATTTCTGGTGTTTCACATGTCGCCCGCCAGCGCCGCACAAAACCTTCGCATGTCACATATTATTGAGACTAATAACATACACGCACGTGGCACAACCACTGCAATAACGCTACAAGATACGTATATTTATGAATGGAGTGCAAGAGACGGCGGTCCTTTAGCGCGCGTATTCGTATTGTTGTGGAAGGTTGCCAGAATCGTAAGGTTCTCCTCGATGCGAGTCTTCGGTGTGGAGTGGCGCGGACGAGCGCGCGAGGTTGTCGGGCGGACGGTGTTGCGCGACTGCGCGCTGCTGGAGTTCCTCTGAAGCTCCGTTCGATACGCTGGCCATGAAAATTTCAGCCGAGCTCCTGTCAACCGGTGGATGGCGGTACGCAGGTATCGCACGCCAACCTTCTCTGTAAAACTAACTACTTCGATACGCTTCCTTCAAATTTAATAATCAAAATAAAGAAAGCACATTGAATAATATTAGTGCAGGAAACAATACTTGTAAATAAAAAAGACTTAGGTATCGCATTTTGAGGCCAAACTTACGTAATGATGATCTATTCGGTTATTTATCAAAGGATTCAGATATTTACTGGTCGTAGATTTTTTACTGCTGGTAGGACCTCTTGTGAGTCCGCGCGGGTAGGTACCACCGCCCTGCCTATTTCTGCCGTGAAGCAGTAATGCGTTTCGGTTTGAAGGGTGGGACAGCCGTTGTAACTATACTTGAGACCTTAGAACTTATATCTCAAGGTGGGTGGCGCATTTACGGTGTAGATGCCTATGGGCTCCAGTAACCACTTAACACCAGGTGGGCTGTGAACTCGTCCACCCATATAAGCAATAAATAAAAAATATATGTATCCTGACTACCTCAAGCTAGGGCTACTAGTTCTTTCGCATGATCTCTCTGTAACAGCTATTTCATCACCTAATTGGTAATTACTCTCCTCGTAATCCCAAGCAGTGGTATAAGACGCTATGGTATAATAAGCACTGGCGGCGAGGTATATTATGAGCCAGCACGGATCTTTACCATCGTTCTGTTGCTCATGCACTCATGCACTCCGGGGGAACTATGACTTAACGTCTTGGTAGCTATTGCTCGGTATCACGTTATGGTTTCAATAGTCTCCGTTAATCAATTAATATCAGGCGAACCGTGAACTCGTTCACAAATCTAAGTTTAAAGTATCGTACATTTACGAGAATAGTAGAAATCATCTCCGAATCGCCCACAACAATGCTGATGTGTCGAAATCATAAATTAATAAAATGTCTGAATAAATAATCTTGACACATCTGATCTTTAATCATATTCGAAAATGACAGTTCTAAAATACTCGCATCTGCCCATTCTCTTCCTAATTGAATCGGAAAAAACGAACAGTTACTACCATACATGTTACTGGTTAGTTACTGATTATTTTGCAACAACTGACTTTGAACTACGTTTTTGAAATTGAAATTGAAGTCGCTTTGGATCCGGAGTCAACATACAGTCCGGTCCAGTTATCGGACAGTCCAGATGCTTCCTCCAGGCGAAAAACTGCAGTTAGTTGTTGGAGCCGCCATGACTCGCTTTCGAACAATGGCCAACCGTCTACGTGAGCGTCCTTGACGCATTACACCTTGGCGGCAGCCACATCAGTGGCCTGAAGGCGTTATTAAGCTGTATGCACAAAGTTTAATAGAACTTTTTTGTATGCTAACTACACGTGTAAAAAGACTGGTAATATAACTTCACTTGCGCCATCCAACGTGCAAACCTACGAGGCAGCATATTGACAACGCCCTGCTCTCTCTTTCCATGTCGACGTTTCAGCAAACCCATGTTCCAGATATTGAAAATTAGATAAAGAGCAAATCCATTTGAGCCACAAGTGGAACAATTATGTTTTTGATCTTTTTTTTTCAAATAGTCAGCGCCTCATCTTGTTCATAAATATATTTTAGCTAGAACCTAATCTTGAGTCTGGTGTTGCATTTCCAGCGATCTTTTTTGCCACGTACCATCCGGCTTTAGAATGAGCTCCTCTCCACGATGTTTCCCGAACGCTATGACGTCCATTGGCGACGGTAACCACTCACTATCAAGTGGGTCGTATGCTCGTCAGCCTAAAAAGGCAATAAAAAAGGCTTAGCCATCATATATGTATGAAAAATAAATTGTAATAGAATGAAATTAACTTCACAGATAATAATTTGGTTAATAATAAAACAAAAAAATACAAAATGTGTGCAATTCACACGTGGTAGAAGTGAAACCTTCCAAAAAAATAAAATACAATTATCCTAAACGTCTTAAGTATATGTAAAATTTTGTCATTAGTAAATAATTGTAAGGTAGCGCCCTCTGTGAATTGATATTTTAATTTCACGTATAATCCTACATTAAAATTCACTACAAGAGCTTTCATACACACGTTAGTATTAAAAACTCTCACAGATGGCGCTGTATTAAATAGTATGTATATTTCTGTCTCATTCTTTGCTGGCTTCATCCTACACATTTTTGTATTTGTGTCTCTTACCTGTCGTTTTTTCCGTTGCATCCGGTTTGAAATCACAACGATTCTAAAGAAGTTTTCACTTCAAAAATATAAAAATCTCACATTATCTAAATTGCACCGCTGGTAGCAGATCCTATTGGTAGGTAGCGCACTTATGCCTATGCATACTGTGGATCCATTATGCGATCCGGTTTCAAAAACGGAACAACCGCTATTCAATCCAATTGAGGCTTCAACCTCATGTCTCAAAATGGGTTGACGGTATTCACGTTGGGATGAAAATAGACCATGGAATCCATTTATCTCCGGGTAAATCGAAAAGTCTTTTATCCATTTACTTAAAATACTTCACAATTTAAAAAAATCCGCCGATATCGTTTTCTTAATTAGAATAATGCCTTACGATACCTTGGCCTTCCTATGGATATAAATCACCGAGTTTCGTGAGGAACGTCGACGTGGGCCTCGATTCGATCCGGAAATACCTGAAATCAGCATCGGAACGGTATGAAGGGGCTATGCGTCACGATGATAATTGCCTTATCCTTGCCACTGCTGACTACTCCCGGAATCCTGCCCACGCTGGAATAATTCACCTTCAACACCCTAGACATGTTCTTACAGATCCATCAGATTCAATAACTCTTGCATTAGACGCCTTCAGCTCTAACACTACGAGCAGGCTTAGGGACTCTGGTAATCGTACTCGCCCATCTGTCCTAGCGAAATTGGAAAGGCCACCGGGCCACCAATAATACTTCCTTAAAAAAAAAAGGCATATAAATTTGGTCAACATTTTTCGTACCAACTTTCCAAGACGGTCAGGGAGCGCTCAAGAAACTTTGAAAACTCAACATTTTTATTACTAGATTTCTATGTTAATATTCTAAAATATCAACCCATTTCAGTTTTAAAGTAATCCTACTTTAAAACTTAAATGGGTTGATCAATTATATCGCGCATTATGCGTGAACATTTAGCAATGAGATCGTCTATGTCAGCCATAGGTACACGAGCGCACCGCGACCATTAGGAACGGTATCGAAGAGGTCGCCGTGGCTGAAATCAGCCAAGGAGTAGTTATATATGTATTTCGATGCCTCCAATGAACACTACGCTAACTCCAAATTCGTAGATTTACAGGAGAAGCATTTAAACGAAAAAAGTTAATAAAATCTTTATTATTGCAGATATATTTATGGTTTTTTTATGTAGCTAGCTGATTTACCCTTGCTTCGAACCCTATTAATAATGATTAATTGTAATACTTTTAACATAGTGAAGCGATTTGTGTGAAAAACAAAATTTCAAAATTTTGAGTTAGAGTAGTGTTCATTGGAGGCATCGATTTATGCAGTTGCAGTCAGTAGATAATAGGTATAGTTTATAAAACTTTATTTAATGATTATTGTAAAAATACGAGTACGATTTTAATAATCCGAACTTTCTGTTTTTTTATTTTTTATTTCTTATATGAGTGGACGAGCTCACAGCCCACCTGGTGTGAAGTGGTTACTGGAGCCCATAGACATCTACGACGTAAATGCGCCACCCACCTTGAGATATAAGTTCTAAGGTCTCAAGTAGAGTTACAACGGCTGCCCCACCCTTCAAGCCGAAACGCATTACTGCTTCACGGTAGAAATAGGCAGGGTGGTGGTACCTACCCGCGCGAACTGACAAGATGTCCTACCGCCAGTAATGTACAAGCTGATATGATTTTAATTTGGCTATTGTATGGTTACAGATAATTTACTTTATAAGTACCGGAGTTTTATGTATACTTTTTAATTGCATGGACAGCCTTGCGAGCTCACGGCCTCTCTCTCATTAAGTGCTACCGGAAAAGAATCGAACACCGGCACGGTTGCATCGCTTGATATGAATGCACCGGGTATCTTATATCCTTTAAGTCACGATGACTTCAGACACCAGGTGTCTTATCCTTTGGGCCATGGAGACTTATAACAACCCTATCATAACAGCTGTCCCAATCCTTCAAAACGGAACAAATAACTGCTTAGTGCCAGAAATGGGCTAGGTGGTGGTCCCTACCCGTGTGGGAATACGCTTTACACCAGTAAAACCAGACGAAACCATCCGTTGGTGATTATATTATACTGTCTGATTTTCTTGGAGGCTTTAAAATAATTTACGTTCAGCCATTACGTTAAAGTGATAATGTAATAATCATTTTGAACATCAATAGGTTTTCTTGTTACATTTTAAACATACAACAAATAATATAAACAGAATGGTTAGTAATAATCCACCATAGTTTTATTAAGTTTCAATTTGTAAATATATATTTTTTCTTGCTTATATGGGTGGACGAGCTCACAGCCCACCTGGTGTTAAGTGGTTACTGGAGCCCATAGACATCTACCACGTAAATGCGCCACCCACCTTGAGATATAAGTTCTAAGGTCTCAAGTAGAGCTACAACGGCTGCCCCACCCTTCAAACCGAAACGCATTACTGCTTCACGGTAGAAATAGGCAGGGCGGTGGTACCTACCCGTGCGGACTCACAAGAGGTCCTACCACCAGTAAATAAAGTAAATAAATCCTAAAATAAAGACAAAATAATGCAAATGTATTATTAAAATTTTATTAGACGAACATATTACACAAACACTGGTGGTAAACTACAACTCCACTAAAGTATTGAACTATTTACAGACAACTAACATAATTTATGTCGAACATTTTAGCGAGATAGGAAACATATTGGATCTTGAAATATGTTACAAACATTATTTATAAATTTATTAAAAAATCATAATAGGCACATTTGTATAGTAGATTTGTATAATATTCAAAAGATCTCTATCCCATATTCTGAACATTTCGTATTTTTTACAAGTGTTTGTTTTATTTTAATTGTAGAAATTTGTTAATGGCACAAGTACAGTGAGGCTGAACCGGTTAGGTTTTTATGCCTGGCTAAAGTCTAATTTCAATTACGTCTGATACTTTGAGGTTTTGGTTTAATTTAAAAAAATGTCCTTTCGAATGTACAATACAAAATGAACTTTATTTGATGTTATGCGTATAAAAGTACATAGATAAAAATTCGGTTTTATGTAAAGCTTCTAAAACATTTAAGGTACAATAAAAGGACAGCACCTTACTCTTAGACTTTATTTGCCTTTGGCTTAGTATTATTTAATAATTATTACACACAAAAATAGAGAACTGCAACAACCCTCATCACTTCATGACGTATATCTGTGACCCCGTAAAATTTAATATTTCAGAAATTTTAATAAATACAAAACAATTAATTGCATTAAATAAAACCAAATGTATATGTTGAATGAAGTCTACAATTTAAAAAAAAAACTTCAAAAATAAAAATTACTCGTAACTTAATTCTGACCTCTGACCAAATAATACCTTTTAAGTTAAGTATCCATCCAGTACATTCTTACAGTATTTGCCAAGACGTAGTTTGTTGCAATTCATTACTATTAAACAAAAATGAGATTCTTATCTACAGTATTCTCAGTATATACACAACAAATTTAACAACTATACACGAACAATATTTTCACAAGACAAAACTACGATCTAGAGGTGGCATGAAACAAATTTACACATACATAACATCATGGAAGTAATAGAGAAACATCAGTTTGAATTTGTCGATGAAACCATTCGATAAATCAGATAAGATTCTTTTTTGACACGACACAAAACAATAATAAAGGATATTAACAAAAACGACGCTGAATTAAATGAATTAGCAAAAGCAAGTAAAAATTTGGTCACTTTTTTAACTTTATTTACACTAAAGTAGAAATAATGGATCACTGAAGAGTGTTCAGTTAGTTTCGTTTCCCTTTCGACTTCCCATTAACCACTGGCTCTTGCTGCTGGTTCTTGCGAGGCCGTAAAATGAAATTCAAATTATAAGCGGTATTAACAGCGTAGTAGACATTTGCATTCGATGGGAGCAACATCTCTGTAAAGCGAAAAATGTAGTGTTAAAACTAGCAAATTTTAGTATATATATCATCATCATCATCATCATCACCAGCCTTTATCTGCCCACTGCTGGACATCGGCCTTCCCCAATGCCTTTCACAGAGTGCGGTCCTCCGCCTTCCGCATCCAACGACTTCCCGCCGTGCGCACTAAGTCGCCGGTCCCCTTGGTTGGAGGACGCCCCACGCTCCTTAGTATATATAGTTTAAAAAATTATAATTTTTTGTTGAATGTGTACAAGAAACAATATCTTAAGTGCCGCCTGGTAATAATCGTTTAGTTTAGCCCATAGACGTCAAAACTTGTTATCATTCACACATCCACGAAGTTAAATTATAAATTAATTGCTTGGTAGCAGAGAAATAGTCTTAAGAGGCCTTTTCAGTAGTAAATGGCAATTGATGTATAAATGTCCATTGACGAATCTTTTAGTCTCCTTTTACAACGGATGCATGACTTCAAACTCGGTTGTGTTATTCTCGGACAATATACAGTCATTTATTGTTCTACGAATTAATTTTATTTAAATAAAGAAATTTTTGAATCAACTTACCTCGTTCGGGTAATACTTGAGCCAAGGTATAAGAATCGGGATCCCCATCAAGATTGAGTTTGAGCATTGCGTTCCGAATTACTTGAGGCGTGCGTTCATTGTTACTTAACATAATGGACTTGTACAACACAACGCCTTCGGTTTCTGCACAATCCGACTCGTATGTCACTCGTATTATATAAAAGTCTGGGCCACTTCGAACACCCGGATGTGCAGGACTGCCCCCAGCTTTGCCGTTTGGCTTCTGTCCACTGTTAGCACTGGACAATGAGACATCCAGAGACGGTAGCGATGAAGACGAAGAACCGTGTGACAGCCTCGTCGGAGAGATTCGCCTTTCAAGACTATCTCTCTTCCAAGCGGTAGTAGTTCCATCGGTTTCGCAAAAGAATTGTGAACTATTACTAGAACTCGTGCTGGCGATCGAGTCGTTTTTCCTATGACTTTGAACGTTGGCGTCGTTTATCTTCTTTGGTCGTCTCTCTTTGGGTGGGTTCGTCGGTGGCTCAATTTGACAAGATAACTGATATGCTTCCCTGTCATCAAGCACAATAACCGAATCAAACCACCGGTCAAACATCGGATCGGAGGGTAAATGGTAGGCGTTGGCAGCTCCTTGCAGTAATTTGATCTGAGCCAGCACTTCGAATTCTTTACGTTTCTTATCAAAATTAATCAAACCGTCGGTTACTGTATCCGGAATGGCAGTATCTATCATTGTGAGATCGGTCAAAAACGTGCCGAGATATGGAATGGTCCCGTGGCTGACACCCGGTGAGCCGCGCTCGTGGAAAAGTTTTTGTAATTGACGGTCGTTTTCTCCCACAGTGTCTGCAAATTTAGCAGTACCTTCACGCATCAGCAACTCTCTCTGAGCCCATCTGTTATTGTCTTCACTGAAAATTCGGGCTAGTTCATCGTAAAGCTCAGCTTTTTCTTTTTGTAAAGTCGCCCACGTTTTTCTCAGTCTATAAACCGGATTGCTCTGCAACCCTGAGATAATCGCTTTGAGCGATGAAAAGTTTTTAAGAACTCTCAGTTCGCGAGCTATATCAAGCCAGGCAGCAAGAATATCGGCACGCTCGGCCGGCTTCAAGTTGAGCTCCACGAGTACCGTCGAAATGACGCGGAACGATACCGCATTGAACTGGTTGACGGTTGCGAGGACAGTGGCCGCGTCGTGGGAACGGTCCTTATCTCTACGTGACCAGACGGCTCCGAGGCACTGGTGGGGCACGAGCTTCTTGAACAGCTCCATGTCCATCCTGGTAAGTTGTTCGGCGAAGTGTCGATGGGGAACGTGTGGCAGGCGGTAAGCGCTGGTGAGATGTGCGGAGAGGCGCATGCCAGGCGCAAGGCACACGGCGCCCCCTCCAGACATCTGCACACCTCCATTTCGTTCTGCACTGAATATGGCTAGCTTCTGTAATACCTGAAAAATTATCCCTAATTTAAAATCACTTGTAGTCGTGGTGTAAAGGATAAGACGTCCGATACATTCGTATCTAGCGATGCAACGGTGTTCCCATCTGCAGGCAAGTACAATTTTTTCTAATGAAGTACGTAATGAAATGCTCACGATTGACTTCCACGGTGAAGAAATAACATCGTGTAATAAAAATCAAACCCGCAAAATTATAATTTGCATAATTCCTGATTGTAGAACGTCTTGTGAGTCCACACGGGTACCACCACCCTGCAAATTATGTTTCGGCTTGAAGGGCGGGGCAGCCGTTGTAGTGTAAAACTGAGATTTAGAACTAATGTCTCAAGGTGGGTGGCGGTATTTACGTTGTTTTTGTCTATGTGCTCCGGTTACCACTTAACACCAGGTGGGCCGTGAGCTCGTCCACCAACTCTAAGCAATAAAGAAAAACTGTTATTATTTTCATTGCAATGAAAAGTATGGTTTTATAATTTATCTTTAATTTTTACCTTCGAGTGTAATTCTGATCCGGGTAAATGAAGTTGCGTGAAGGCGAGCAGCTGTTGCAGTGCGGGATGGTGCGGCGGCTGCCGAAAGTCCTCCGGATATGTGTCCAACCACACGTGGAGACACGCTACAAGAGTCCTGAAATATAGACAATAATAAAACAAATAGAAAATTTATTATTGCAAAAACACAAAGTAGTTACGCGAGGGAAATAAATCGACCAGCTGTTTTGAGCTATATTGCGCTCATTTACATTCTATTTATTAGCTGTAGCGTCTGTACACAATTTGATCTGATTGACAATAAGCTAACGCATGGTCACTTCTCTTATATCAGCCCCGATACTTTTCAGATACACGAGTAAATCCTGGTTCAAATATGAAACGTTTGTGTCGAACAAAACAAACTTTGTTATTATTTTAATTGCGAGGCCAACACGGCCTTTTATATAAAACAAAAAAGTAGTCGCTTATTAAGATGAACTTTAGTGGAATAAGAGCGTAAAAAATCCACATCAGCTTTCTTGCACCCGTCTTAATTTTTATGCAAATACTTTTAAAGCTAGCTTAGATAAAATTCCTACCATCCCTCGAAAGCAATTCGCGAAGTAATAAAATGTTTCGACTTGAAGGTTGGGCCTCATGTCTCAAGGTTGGTGGAGCCATTTACGTGGTCTGTGTATTCTAATTACCACTTAACAACAGCTCGTTCACCTGGCTATGCCATAAAAAAAAATAAACAACTCAACTGGATCTTTAGTAAATTGAAGCACAAATAACGAAATCTTGAAATACACTATTTGTTTCATACTATTTAATAATGTAAGCACATTTTTTTAAATACTTTATTTAAGCTCTCAGTGTTTATATAACGTGACATTTTTTTGATAGTTACAATCATTAATGCAAGTTAATAAATTGTTACATTATCTGAACATAACAAATAAAAAAAAAATTAATATAAAATGGGATTTTACAAATAAAATGAAATTCGAAAATGGTAGCCCCGTAAAGTTTACAATGACAACTTATTTACGTCTTACACCCCGTTAATTTTCGCCTATTTCTGGTACGAAGCAGTAATGCCTTCCGGTTTGAAGGATGGGTAGCCGTTATACCATAGAAGTAAGACGTAGAGTTCTTATCTCAATGTCTTGAAGTTTGTGGGCTCGCTAACTACTTAACCTAGCTGGGAAACGAGTTGATTTATCCGTCTAAATAACAAATAACTAATTAATAACAACACTACAATCCAATTCTTCATCTTAATAGAAATTACGTGAAACATACTTTCGGTGTTGTTGTGATGTGTCAGTCGCAGCGGGAAGTATGTCCTCAGCGGCAAGGGTTTCATACCGTCGCAGCAGGAGATCCAGAACATGACTGCATTCCGCGAATGACCTGAAAATGAAATGTCAATAATTTGTGATAGCAGTTTTATCGTCATAGATATCACAAGGTGAATGGTGACATCCACCAAAGGGCATGAGGTCAGAGTGTTAATTATATAAATATAAGTAGTGCCGTGAAGCAGTAATGCGTTTCGGCTTGAAGGCTGTGGCTGCCGTTGTAACTATACTTGAGACCTTAGAACTTATATCTCAAGGTGGGTGGCGCATTTATGTCGTAGAGGTCTATGGGCTCCAGTAACCACTTAACACCAGGTGGGCTCTGAGCTCATCCACCCATCTAAGCAATAAAAAATAAAAAACCCATCTGGCAGTAATTGGTTAGCGTCGCCTATGGATAGTAGCAATGACACAGACACCGTCAGCCGAAAGAATTAATCGTACCTATAGATACCATACATATTATCATTTGAAGATTCGATTATGTAATAATTGAAACTTCACTAGTCATTAAAGTTATCATGTCTATGAACTGAAACTACTTGAGGTGTATACGAGCATACAGTTTAAAGTTTAAAAAAATCGTATCTTTTGTTAAATTAAATATGAATCGAAATCTAAATCTATCTTCTATATAAAAATGAATTGCTGTTCGTTAGTCTCGCTAAAACTCGAGAACGGCTGGACCGATTTGGCTAATTTTGGTCTTAAATTATTTGTGGAAGTCCAGAGAAGGTTTAAAAGGTAGATAAATATTAAAACGCTGGAATTAAATAAAAATAACAATTTTGTTTTTCCTTTGATGTGTCCCCCGTCGGTCGGATTCCTTTTGTTTGTTTTTTTTATACAAAATCTTATTTATCTCTCTTTTATTTATCGATTTAGGCACTACGATGTCTGCCGGGTCAGCTAGTTATAAATAAGTAATAATAGTAATAACCGGTATGTCGCGAGGAACACATTGACGTATGTGGACTCGAGTTCGCCGTCGTCGGTAGCGAGCGCCTCCACTAGCCGCTCGACTGTGCCGGCTTTTACGAACCGTACACGTACGGTTTCCCACTCTAAATGTGAGATCTCGTCGTCAGACTCCTGGAAAATAGGAACGAATTTAAAAAGTTATATCGATTTTTTAAACCAAAAAGGATCTATGTTTATCTTTAAAGTGTTGTTACATGTGTAGCCTACCGTAAAATGTTCTCGATGGAAAAAGAACCTAAAAGTGTAAATAAACTAATTAATTCTGACTAATATTTAGGTGCCCATTATTAAACAAAACATAATTTTGTATGATTAATTACTTTATAATGAAATCTATTGAATTTAAATAGGCCCTTATTATTATGAAATTTTCAGAGTACCCACAGTTTACTTAATTACGCTTGTTTAGATATTAAGATTTTAGTTTAGATATTAGATAACATTGAATCACTACCGACCATTGTAAAGTCATTCATAATTTCGATACGCAGTACTAATTATGTTTAACAATGGTCTAGCGCCTACCTCTTCTCATAATAACCCAATCACTAGATAAATACCGTGGGAAAAGAAACTCATTTGTTGCATCTTCATCATAATGTAGACACGCAATTACCTAAATAATTGTTACAAGCAAAAGCAAGTATAGTTTCATAGAAACAACATTTTGTATTTTTAGTAGTAGTTAATGGATTCAAAAAATCTACTACTCTGTGGTGATGTGAGGCGGTTTATACCCAATTCCACATGCATAGTAATGATCGAAATTGGACTGCAATCACTAACACCGCAAATTTTAAATTCATATTATTAATACATTTTCTTGTAAGGTACTGATATTTTCCAGGTAAAAAATTTAAAACGCTTATTGTTTCCAAAATACGTTTATTGAAAACACTACAGTTTGATAATAGCTGTTATATAAAATAAAACAACGCTTGACAAACAGAACATAAGAGTATTTGAGCTTCGCCTATTATACTTAACTTTGCATTTATAAATGGTTAAGTTTCTTAAGTTTCTGATAAATACATATTTTCACTTGACTTATTAAAATAATTACATAATTCGAATCTTCGAAATTAAGAACGTCTTTTTTTTATTATTGGTGGCCCGGAGGCCTTTCCAGTTTCACCAGGACAGGTGGGCGAGCAAAAGCTCAGCCAGGACGGGAAGATTTGCTAACAGCTGCCCGAGAGCCTCCGAAAACCTAACAACTCAAGAGCAGCTGTTTCGCGAATCTACTACCGGATCGGAATCGCGACCTGCTGAGAAGATCCGGCGAGAAACTCAGCGTGCTAATTAAGAACGTCCTGAAGCGTTCCTTTGTTTATATTATTTATCTTATCTTACTCTTTTACCTTTAAACGAGCAATTCTTGTATAATTTGAATCTCGGAAACGGCTCCAACGATTTTCATAAAATTTAGTATACAGGAGATTTCGGGGGCGATAAATCGATCTAGCTACGATTTATTTTCAGAAAATGTTGTTTTATTCGTGTTTTCAATAATCAACTCTTCCCGACATCTATTGGCGAATAATAATACTATTTTTCTTAATTGAGGGCAACTAACCGCTTTAAAGACACAACAAGATGGCGTTATAAAAAAAAAACCGAGCAAACCTCCGTCATCATATGGTATGGATATAATACGTCATACGTAAAGTGAAAAAATAACAACGGGCGTGACACTAATAACGACACGGACGTCTGATTTCGTTTATCACATATTACATTGAAACATCAAAACATACATTTATTAGTATAAACATTGTACGTAACTTCATTAATGGTGTGCACATTNTGGCGTTATAAAAAAAAAACCGAGCAAACCTCCGTCATCATATGGTATGGATATAATACGTCATACGTAAAGTGAAAAAATAACAACGGGCGTGACACTAATAACGACACGGACGTCTGATTTCGTTTATCACATATTACATTGAAACATCAAAACATACATTTATTAGTATAAACATTGTACGTAACTTCATTAATGGTGTGCACATTCATATTACTCTTGGTCATCCGGGATGTGAGTGCTGTATTAAAACCAACATTATTGCTACGTACTGTTTTAATTCGACAACTATAATGTTATCGCGACCACCAATCGAATTAACAGCGTATACACTTGCTATTAGATGTTCGTTGTTCGATATTATTTGAATAAAATTGTCTACCTGTATGATAACATTTACGGATATATATTTTTTATTACATGATGTTATTCCTTCACCGTGGAAGTCGATCGTGAACATTTGTGGAATACATATTTCATTAGAAAAATTGGTACTGGCCTGAGATTCGAACACCGGTGCATCGCTCAACACGAATGCACCGGACGTCTTATCCTTTAGGCCACGACGACTTCATATAATTCTAGAAGAATATACTGATTATAATAAAGGAGTACGAATGGTTTTAAGGTGCAGTGACCTAATCAACTTAACTGTCAGACCAAAACAAGGCTTTGATACCTTATACATTTATTTTAATTTTATTAATTTGTTTTAATTATTCTTTATACAACTTATAAGAAATTGAATGTAGGCAGAATTCATACTATGAATTTTCTTTGACTCCACTTTTGGGTCATACCTCTTCACGGCCATGCTCTCACCGTTCTTATTCCTACAAGCAATAAATAAGCAATAAAAGGTAATAATTAATACAAATCTTTCCTAATACATTAATAAAATTAAATGAATACATTTAGATATAAGTATATACTAGATGTACATATGTACTAAATGTAATATGTATCTATAAAAGCTTTAAATTATTAATATTTTTAGCTAAAAAGCTCGCGGCACAAAGTCGAATTTCGAGTGTTTCGAGTTTCCAAATTGTATACGATTTTGGGTTATGTTTATTTACATGATTCATCAAATAATTCGACCAGTTAACCTGATCGATACGCCAAAAAAGAAAATTGCTAGCCGTGTAATTGAGATTATTGCTAACGCTCACATTGCGTTTTTTATATCGAAATGCTTATATTTATTGTTTATCTACATAGACTAAGAACAATGTAGTGAATTTATCGGTCGTCGCAAGACGTTCACATTTTTAATTTTTATTGCTTAGATGTTTGGACGAGTTCACAGCCCACCTGGTGTTAAGTGGGTACTGGAACCCATGGACATCTACAACGTAAATGCGCCACCCAACTTGAGATATAAGTTCTAAGATCTCAGTATAGTTACAACGGCTGCCCACCCTTCAAACCGAAGCGCATTACTGCTTCACGGCAGAAATAGGCAGGGCGGTGGTACCTACCCGCGCGGACTCACAAGAGGTCCTACCACTTGTATAGTACTCGTTTCGCAGTTGAAATGAAAATGTTGGAAATAATATAACGACAATAAAAAACGCGAGATTAAATCGTAAAAGTAGTTCTAAAAACGATATCCATTATTAGCGCTAAGCAAAAATTCAAATACATATCTATCAAGTTAACAAATCCTTGGCGCCGAGGCGAGATAACAACAACACTATGTCTCCCTACAGCCTATCTTTGCTGTCGGAAACGTTTGTATAGTTAAAAATACTTACACTTGAAGCACTTTTGGTAGGTCGATGGTAACGCACTTTCTTCAGATAAACGGTGTAGATGGCGCCGTCCACGCGCTCTTCCCCCCACAACCGCCATGTTGGCTGCTGGAACACACCAGAAAAAGGTCAACACAAACAGCTTAAATTAAAACAAGCATTAAACGCAAATAAAAAGCTAAATTTGAATCACAATTTAACTGTCAAGCCTACATTTTCTTCATCGAGGGTATGCTGCCTCAAACAGATAACACAATCTTCTAATGACAAAACAGACATTGCCGACAATTCATAAAACTCCCGGCGCCTGTGCATTCTAAATAATACTAATAACACCAATACGTTAAAGACAAACAAAATTATTATGTCATCACCATACAATCATTAAGTCGAATGATTACAAGTATTGCACCTTACAAGGAAAGATAAAGAACATGCAATAATTACATAGATCACTCGAGTCGGACAACATGGTATGCAATTATATAACGCTTACATAATCATTATCTACGTTATCAGCAAACAGTACGGGCTCTGCCTTACTGACGCCGCATATTCTCCACATGGCCCATATCCGAGAACGTCACGCGCGACGTCACTTCGCTCAGCTGAGCGTCCCCCGCATCGCGCTTACTTTCACTACCACGCCGCGCTAATCTACGACATCACACTATAGTAGCCATCGGCAAAACCAAGAATCTTATAACTGGATCAATCAATGGCGAACACCGACTGAATAGGCTGGCAGCTCAGACGTGCGTGACTTTGGTGAAATCGCCGCACACTCGGACAGTGGCATACATGTCGACAACTGTATCCGGCTTGAACGTCCACTTTATAAGTATTTTATGTCAGCTAAAAGAATGCCCCATATATTTTTCATTAATTTTTACTCGAAAACAAAATCAACCACGAATAATAACGATTAAAGTTTCGTACATATTCAAATCAAAACACAAAATCAATCACAACACTTCCATTGAGCCATTAAAATATCAATTGTTAAGACGATAGTTGTACGCAATGTTTATGTGCTATTTCGATTGAAGACTAAAACTTTCACATCCACAGGACACTTAACTGGCACTTAAAGTTTAATTTAATTGACAAAACAACCGAAACAATGACAATGAATTTATGTAGGTCAAAATTTCACTTGTAAAAACAATGAATTTATTTAATAGTAGTACATAGAAACATTATGTGGCAGAAACGCTGATGCTACGGCGCGGTCACGGCATGACTGTTCTCGTGTGTTGGAGAGATCGCGTGAAAAACCGCAATACAACACGTCAATGGGGCAGACGATCTAGATTGCAACGGAGCTAAAACAATGAACATAATGGGCACAACACGTGCTCAACACATACGTACAATACCTAATAGGATTGCATTCATACGTTACTACTCAGCAGGTATCGGATAACATTGAAATAAGTCGAAGCAAGATTACTAAAATTCAAAATTTTTAATGTTTACATATTTATTCGTAAATAACTTCAAACAGAATATAGTGTTTTCATCATCACAAATTATAATTATTCAAGTAGCAGTTTTACAAGTTAAGTGTTTCATGGCAACACATTCAATTATTTTCCAAAACATATTTCGTCGTATGCTGAATAAAATTCGTACAGTATGCAAAATAAAACTTTATTAACTTTAACTAGTTTCTTATAATATAATAATTCACTATCTAACGGAACTTATTAATTTCTCTAATTACTTTTCTCGTGACAAATCAGATCTGTGAAGCAATTCAATTCAATATGTTTAATATATAGTAGATCTCATATTAACTCTGTATTAATAAATCGCAGATTTCTGTAATTTTCTCTTGCTCTGCAAAAGTAATGAAAGAAAATCGTTTAACTGATATTTTGAAATGTTGAATGATTTACACTTAAGAAAATTAGTAATACAAATTTCTGCTATCTTTGAGGTCATAAAATTAAAGATCACGACTTACAGATAAACCTAAACTAAAGTCATAACATCATATACATGTGGTGCTATCGAGTATGTTGTACACCACGTGTGACTGACTCTGTTGTACACAAATGTGTACTCGTAAATCCAATTAACGGGTACACATTTGTCAGTTCGTCCTGCCTTTTCCATCGTAAAGCAGACAAACGACCCAGCTTGAAGGATACTGAGGCAACTGAAAATTCGATCTAATCTTAAGTCTGCGACGGCATTAGTCAACACAAATAATATTATTATACTTAGTCTATGTTAGCTCGTCGATTCTATTATATTATCTGATTAAATAAAAATGTATTCTATGACAAAAAAAATATATATTATATTCTTTCTGGAATTGCTAGCAACATCATGTTGAGAACAATGATTTTATCTTTAAATCTCTAAAATTTGAAATATATTATACGTGTGCATCAGCGAATGCAACATTTTGTACAATAATAATAACTGATGAAAATTAACTATGAAATTACTCCTATTTTTGATCAAAACTGGTTCAACTTTCAACGTCAAAGATGGTTGCAATGATAGACGATGGGAAACTGATATATGTACCCACGAGATCAACGGAGCGTTTAATAACTTTCCTGCTCAATTACTAACTCTCATTTAAGTGAGAATTGAAACCATAAATCACTATGGTGAATGTGAAATCCTTTTCTTTTTCTGTTTAATGCGTTAAGTGGTTAACGGAACCAATAGACATCACGATGTGCATACTTGCGAGATGTGATGTAAGTCTCAATTGTATAGCAATTGTAATTGTTCCAACCGGAACGTATTACCAACTACTACGAGATTGAAAATGGCAGGGCTGGCCCTGGACGTCCTACCGTAAACTTCTATAGCTATACTTGAATGCTATGTAATTATATATCCTCTCAATTATTAAATACAATTCAAGCTTGTCACAAAATGTCTCGAAACCTTTTAGTCGATAAAAGTCCAAAATTGTGCATGGAATTTAACGTTCAACTGGACTGAAAGTATTTACTACAGTACTCTAAACCCTGTAAATAAATTCTCCAGTAAAGAAACTTAATACCTACATTTGACTAACTATATAGAGACCGACTGAAAGCCAGGAGCCAACTAGGCGCCATTTAATGATCCCAACTGACTGAAGTTTATTCACCCGTCTCGATCATATTTTTAACGTATTTTTTATCTCTACGAGTAGTCGTCTAAGTAATCTAGTAATCTAAGTAAAAGTAATCTAGTTTTTGATGTGTTTGGTGGAGCTAATCTCCCAAAATAATATAAATTTCACCACCTTTACTGATTTTCCTAAGGGGAGGTAGGCTAAAAGGTTGGGTATTTTACATTGCAATAGCAATAAATTTTTCGAATGTATGCTTAAGAAACGGCTTAAAACCTTTTCAATACGATATTGAAAATCGAATTCAACTATTTTTGGTTTTCTGGTTATTATTTATCTGGTATTTTTTGGTTATTTATGTAAAGGTTATTCATTATAAAAATCTCAACATTTTAGGTCCAGCTATTGGGGCTTGGCGTTGATGAATCAATCAACCAACACTAGTAAGTCGCTTAAAATAAAAATACATTATTTGTAAACACTATATAGCTTTACCCAATATCCATAAATTATTAAATAAAAGGACTTAAAAGGCATTATGAAGCTGTTGTTTTAACCTGGTAAATTATTAAATCTATATGTGCCAAGAGTTTGAATTAAATATGTATTCTAAATGTAAAAGCACAATGTATATGTATGTGTATATTTGGTTTTAAAATTATGTAAAATAGTTCAACGTGGAGTTCACAAAAATTTGAGCACTTTTGAATACGGGGTCGATATGGTTTTAATGAGAGACCGCTCATAGCATCACTGCTACAAAAAGGATACAGCTAGAAAAAGAAATATGCGATTTTATTATGAAAATATTAAAGACTGAAGAGAAAAAGGTCTAGCAGGAAACTATAATATTAATAAATATATTAAAATGTAATTAAATATTTGGATAAATGGACAAAGTAAATTTAATGTTTGAATATAACTTATTACTATTTGAATATTTAAGAAAAAAATATATCTTACATATTGACTGATGCATTCTGATCTTACGCTAGATAAGAAACGATAAGATAGTGCTATGTTTGTCCTCCATTGACATTCTCGTCAGCTTATCTAATGGACAACCCAATGTTTATTTTTTTGTATAAATACATTAATATAAAGCAATACTATGACATAAAAGGTCAAAAAAGGTGACGTCAAACGCAGAGCTAAGAAAAAATTTAATCAAATGTCAATGCCCCTTTAAGTAAATTCCATTCCATATAAATATATCACGTAGACGAAATAAATGGAATATTTCATATTATCTTAAAACATAACACAAATTAAGTTGACCTAGCAATTATTTGGGTGCGAAATGTATAAATAGAATACATTTTCGGGCGTCAAGAAGATTTTCATATCTATGACGCACTCACAAACCTCTAGAATAACTTCGTGACCTTTTTATTTTGTAAATGATAAACACACACGGTATATGACGAATAGAATGAAATTGTTTTGTGTTATATCAGTTAAATGTCATTATCATTACCACCGGCACTTGCTAAGTTTGAATAGACTTTTACGTTTTAATTCAAAACTATAACCAGATGAAGTTTCTAATATTACCTACATCGGAACAGCTATTTATTCAAATAATATATTGTGAAAATATTCAGTCTATTGCGCAAAAAAAACATTAAGGCATGTTTACAAATTATACAGCTGAGTGACTACGGCTGCCTTTTTTGCAATCAATTCTAAACATGCTCAGGATTGGCACTACTTTACCAATGTTCTACATTTTTTAAAAAATCAGAAGAAAGAAAACCTATCAAGCTTTTAGTATTAGACATGAAGCTAAGTAGGTGCAGAGCGTCTCCGACGTCGCATCAGTGTGCTCAGTGCGAGTTTTTAACTTCTCGATCGCAAAAAGGTTAACTCAAATTGGTATGAAGTTGAAAAAACGCCCCTAGCGGCAAACGAAGAGAAGCTGTTCCAATTCCATACAAATTTGAGTTAACTTTTACGCGATCGAGAAGTTAAAAAAACTCGCACTAAGCACACTGAGGGCAACGTGCGAGCTGAGTGCCGTGACGGATTCGCTCCGCCGGCGACGCGCCCTCCTTGTACTATGGTGACACCCGGAACAAAAGTAACTGTTCCCAAGTATATATATCTCCCAATTAAATTAATCTTAAGCAATGAATGAAATGTATCCAATTCTTAGCTGTATATTTTATTTTTATTTTTGATGTTAATGCAATGTCGATTGCACCTATAATTGAGGTGACATCTGCCATGAACTTTTGTCAATTTGTCAATGTTTTGTATTGATGATCACTTTGTTGGTGCAACTTATTAAATAAATAAATAAATAAATAAATAAATATTATTATAGGAATATAGTGGAAGAACGAAATATATAGTGAATACTACGAAGATCTTAGTTGAACGTGGAAGGATAGCGACTGGTTTAGAGACCTTACCGCTTGACTAAGACGGATGGACAAACTCAAGGGCTCAGTCAGGTTTTGACCCCTGGTTTTAGTGCATCGACAATGCAACGGACTTATTATAAAACCAGACTATAGGTGAAATAACCTGTAACGTGTAAATCCTTGTACGATTGTATTACACTAGGATCTTGAAGAATTTTCAAAATAATAATGAAATGTAACATGTGCTCACGAACGTCTTCTACAATGAACCAGCAACTTGGTGTCAAAAATGAACCGCACATTTTTTCATCCCATTAATAGTATCATGTGAACCTGCATTCCCTAGGCAAATTCGCTACTGCTGCGAGGGATGTCCATTAGCTACAAGAACCACTGACGAACCTCAGACTCATCTGCGTTCAACGACGACTTTAAAGAAACCTTTTTAATTTTAACCGTGCCTATTCATGTCAACGACAGATATCGATTCGCTATGTGTAAATACGCGACAAGACTATAAACTGGTCGAAATTGACGAATTAGATTGATTCGATTAAAAGCCAAACAAACTTTAATTATAGTTAATGGATATTGAAATCGGTGATGCACCGGTGTTCGAATCTCAAGCGGGTACAAATTTTTCTAATGAATTACGTACTCAACAAATGTTCACGATTGACTTCCACGGTGAAGGAATAACATCGTGTAATAAAAAACCAAACCCGCAAAATTATAATTTGCGTAATTACTGGTGGTAGGACCTCTTGTTAGTCCGCACGGGTAGGTACCACCA